ATCAACACTAATCTCTTTTGACAGGAGCTGTAATTTTTTCCCAGCAACATCTTTCCTTGCCAAGAAACAACCAGGGGAAAGGACCTGGAAAAAAAAGATTATCAGAGAGACAGGATCTGCCCAACACAAAAAAGTCTAGAACAACCTGAGTAGAATTAAAATGACCCATGTGGTTATCTCATAAATTTTGAGGCCCAAATCAAGAAAATTCTAGTAAACTCTCCAGAACACCTCAGTTGGTTCAAATGGGGAAAGTTTGATGCAATTAAAGTTCACCAGTGCTTAGACTATGGGCATTACATTATTTACATATTCTTAGCAAACAGCAAAATAGCTTTAAATCTAACTATCCCTGGCCTTTCTAGCTACTTGTGATGTGAAACAATTTAACAGCTTGGAATATTAAGAGCTTAGAAGCAGGAATGGAAGCCTGCCAAGATCTTAATTCTTACGACTAGTGATGTTGCGCTGCTAAAACCTCGTTACCTTATTTATGTGAATCACTCATATGTGCAAGTCCATATAAATAAACAATTAAAATAAATACAAATATATATATACAGTTGTGTTCAAAATAATAGCAGTGTGTTGAAAAAAGTGAATAAAGCTCAAAATCCTTCTAATAGCTTTTATTTCCTTACACACAAATGCATTGGGAACACTACACATTCTACTCCAAATCAAAACATGAAGAAAAATATATCAAATTTGTGTTCTTCCTCTAAAAAAAATTGAAGAAAAAGTGAATATTAGACTGTTCCAAAAAATAGCAGTGTTTGTATTCTTCTTTACAAACTCAAACATTCACTATATAAACTGAAAATTGTTTGAAGATTTTGCTTTCCTTTGAATCACCTAATTAATATTTAGTTGTATAAGCACTGTTTCTGAGAACTGCTGTACATCTGTGTTGCATGGAGTCAAACAACTTCTGGCACCTGTGAACAGGTATTCCAGCCCAGGATGATTGGACTACATTCCGCAGTTCTTTATTTCTTGGTTTTGCCCCAGAAACTGCATTTTTTGATCTCACCCCACAAGTTTTCTATTGGATTAAGATCTGGGGATTGGGCTGGCCGCTCCATAATGTCAATCTTGTTGGTCTGGAACCAAGATGTTGCACATTTACTGGTGTGTTTGGGGTGGTTGTCTTTTTGGAACACCCATTTCAAGGGCATTTCCTCTTCAGCATAACCTCTTCAAGTATTCTGATGTATTCAAACTGATCCATGATCCCTGGTATGCGATAAATAGACCCAACACTGTAGTATGAGAAACATCCCCATATCATGATGCTTGTGCAACCATGCCTCACTGTCTTCACAGTGTACTGTGGCTTGAATTCAGTGTTTTGGGGTCGTCTGACAAACTGTCTCCAGCCACTAGACCCAAAAAGAACAATCTTACTTTCATCAGTCCACAAAATGTTGCGCCATTTCTCTTTAGGCCAGTCAATGTGCTCTTTGGCAAATTATAATCTCTTCAGCACGTCTTTTTTTTCAACAGTGGGACTTTGCCTGGGGCTTCTTGCAGATAGCTTGGCTTCACATCGGCGTCTTCTAATTGTAACAGTACTCACAGGTAACTTTAGACCTTCTTTGATCTTCCTTAGTGATTCAGTTAACACAGAATCAGCAGCATGCATGTCATGACTGTTGGGTCTGTTGGATTTCTATTACTCTACTACACCTGCTAGTAAATTATTTGCTATGTAGAAATATCATTTCTACCAAAAACAGTGACTGCTATTATTTTGAACACAACTGTGTGTGTGTATATATATATATAAATATATATATATATGATAAATAAATAGAAAAATATATAGATATATAATCAATGTGTAATGTGAATCAATATTATCCCTTGTGCCAATACATCAGTTCATAAAGTCCACATATTATTCTGTGTGTGCTTATCCAACACCACAATTTCCACACGTGCTCCTTAATAACTTTGCACAGTGAAGGTGCCACCTCTGTGCTCACAGAACTCTCACCTTAAAGATACTCTCTCAATACATGTATATGTCTTTCCATCCATATTCCACCAACTTTATCTGTCTCTTCCGCCTCCAAACCACTAGGGACCCTCCTTTCTTCTTCTCTCTCTTGGAGCCAGATGTTGGGGTGCCTTTAAGGTTCAAAATAACAAACAACTGTACTGAACAGACTGTATGGTGTCAGTAATTATAAATACCCCAGCAGAATAGCCCATTGAAAAATAGTATACAAAACTTTATTAGTATTTAATCAAAGATTAATATGAGAACATTACTCTGTCAAGGGGGACAAACAAACACCAGTCATATACAATAAAATAAAAGAAATCGTCTGTTTTAAGGATGTATGCTGATGGTCAATATTGTGCATCAAAATAGCCTAAGGGGCCACGTGTGTTCCATTGCATATCATTGAATGGAGAACTGACTCAAAATATGCTCTCTAAATTACAAACAATAACAATGATAAATAGGACAGCATCATGCAGATATCATGTAGATAAGGATTGACTCAGGGTAACCAGTGGAAGGCTTAACTGAAATAATTTCACATCAAGCAAGTCCATTAGTCCTCCTACATAGTGGCTAAAATTGGAAATATATCAGGTTATAAAATTTCACTAAATAGAGGGTAAATCACATGTTGGTCTGCAATCCGCTTGCAATTACAAAAAATATATAGCCATCATGAAAGCGCCTGTTTTTGGATTGTTAAGCTGTACTGGGATAAAGGTGTAGGGGTGAGCAATATGAACTCAACAGGAGTCTCCCAATCACAGTAGCCACCTTCCATCACAAAATATTGGGAATCACAAGCAGCAAACAGATAAAGCAACATTAAGTAACCCCATGGACCATTTAGTATGATATTTGTAAAGGTTATATATTGATGGAAACTCAATCTGCGACAGCAGTAGTATGATCATAAATGGCCACTTAATATGAGGGAGGGTAACAGCTTGTTTAGGAAAGGACAAGCATGTATATAGGGAGGAAGTCTATTGCAGCTAGAGATAGACAGGAATAGTGGTGGCTTGAACATTAGAACATAACCGAATATATTGGTATAATTGAGTCAGTCACTTATGCCACCTCCGATCCAAACACTGCCATGTATCATCTCCCCAGTATCAGCACTTCACTTTCCAAAATAAGGCTGTTCCTATTTCCTCATGTTGCTACTGTCGGTATATCTCCATAGTGCTTAGGAGAATGTCGGTTACTCCAATGTGATGTACGGCACATATTGGCTTCCATCCACCATGTTAAATCCATCATTGGGACACTTGCATATGTCATTTTCAGGACGTGATGATGTCACTATGTTGAGGCATTTTGTCCACCAATCATCATGAACTTTGTCAGAACTAGGAGGGGACAGTCCTATGCTTCCTTAAATACTATCTCATGCGTAATAATGCTGTCACTACACCCACTTGTGTTGAGATGTCATCATTATTATATGAAAAACTTTAAAATTAGGCTGTAGAAAAATATCAATAGATCTCTAGATGGAAATAATCAACAAGAGAAGACCAGGAGCTATTACTATAGCTTTAAACTTTTTGTGAGTTTCTGCTTTTAATAATAAAGGGAGCTACCATCCAGTGTCCTGTTCTTAAACATGGGAGGAAACCCAAAAAGAAAAAGTTTAATCAAGGAATACTTTGAAGTTTTATTCGGTATTTAACCCCTTGGGTATTAGCGTCCCTAACGCGTAAATCCAGTATTTTTTCTTTTGCAATAAAACTTTATCATAATCTCCTCTTCTAGATGACAGGTTTAATAGGAAAATCCCTTTTACTTTTAGACCCTCTGTTTGTCCTTTATGCGCCTCCTTAAAATGTTGTGCTAATGGGTTTTGTCAGGGCTCCAGGGTATGACCAGAGGTATGTGAACTGACGCAGGGAAACGCAGGCTTCAGATATGTTATAAACAATATAATTTATTAATACTAACAATACATAAACGCAGTGCAATACTAAAACATAACACAGAGCAAACGAACCAAACCAAACCACCCACAGATAACAATACATACAATGCAAGCGTCGTCAGGCAGGCCGGGTCAATAACAATCGGGCAGGTAGAAACAGGAGGAGCAGGCAGAGAGTAGTCAGGTCACGAGCCGGGTACAGCAACTAACGGGCAGGTAGGTACAGGGGGTCAGGCAGAGAATGGTCGGGGTCACAAGCCAGGGATCAAACAGGAGAAGTCAGAAGAGGTCCGGATCAGGCAGGGTCAGCAACGAATCAGTCAGACAGGAACAGGAACGCAGGTAACAAGATACAGGGGCCCATAGAACAACACACACCAAGGCACAGACTGCAGGTCTGGCCATCCCTTAAATACACCTCTGATCAGCCTCAGGTGTTTTGGCTGACTGCAGGGTTGAGTCTCTGATTGCTGAGAGCACCCGCTGGCCAGCCCTGGTACTGCAGCCCACAAGGCAGGTGAGTCCCACCATTACTGGCAAGTCCATTCCTGACAGTACCCCCCCCCCTCAAGGAGCGGCCTCAGGACGCTCCAAACAGTCCTAGCTGGGCAAAATGTTACACCGCCCGGGTCTGGTAACTGGCGGGATATCAAAGACTGGCACATCGGGCCGGGCAGCGGCACATCGGGCCGGACTCTGGGCAGCGGCACATGGGGCCGGACTCTGGGCAGCGGCACATCGGGCCGGACTCCGGGCAGCGGCACATCGGGCCGGACTCCGGGCAGCGGCACATCGGGCCGGACTCCGGGCAGCGGCACATCGGGCCGGACTCTGGGCAGCGGCCCGATGTGCCGGACTCCGGGCAGCGGCACATCGGGCCGGACTCCGGGCAGCGGCACATCGGGCCGGACTCCGGGCAGCGGCACATCGGGCCTCCAGGTGGAGCGGCAGGCATCGGCCCCCGGGCGGAGCGGCGGGCGCCGGGCCGAGCGGCGGGCCCCCGGGCGGAGCGGCGGGCATCGGGTCACCAGGCATCAGGTCATTTGGCTCGCTAGCGGGCACCGCGTCATCTGGCAAGGCAGTGGGCACCAAGTCACCAGGCACGACAGTGGGTTCCGAGTCAACTGGCATGACCGCGGGCACTGGGTCAGACATTGGATCGTCTGGCTTGACAGCGGGCATCGGGTCACCAGGCATCAAGTCATTTGGCTGGACAGTGGGCACCGCATCATCTGGCAAGGCAGTGGGCACCAAGTCACCAGGCATGACAGTGGGCTCTGAGTCAATTGGCACGACAGCGGGCACTGGGTCATCAGGCATTGGATCGTCTGGCTCGACAGCAGGCATCAGGTCACCAGCCATGACAGTGGGCACCGGGTCATCAGGTACCAGATCGTCTGGCTCGACAGCAGGCACCGGATCATCTGGCGCTGGATCGTCTGGCTCGACAGCGGGCATCGTGTCACCAGGCATGACAGCGGGCATCGGGTCATCAGGCATTGGATCGTCTGGATCGACAGCGGGCATCGGGTCACCAGGCATGACAGCGGGCACTGGGTCATCAGGCATTGGATTGTCTGGCTCGACAGCGGGCATCGGGTCACCAGGCATGACAGCAGGCACTGGGTCATCAGGTACCGGATTGTCTGGATCAACAGCGGGCACCGGGTCATCAGGCATTGGATCGTCAGGCTGGGTAGAGACATCAGGCTGAAGTGCGGGTGCCGAGGCACCAGGCTGAACCACGGAAGGCAGGTTCTTAGACGGCAGGCTCACCGGTTTGGATTCTGGCAGGATGGTACTGGTTGGAAAGAATTTTCGCTTTTTTCTGGTTTTAACTACTGGAGCATTGCAAGTAAACGCAGGTCTGCAAACGAATGGAGCAGCTGAGGACAGAGAAGAGCTGGAAGATGGAACAGAGGAGGGAGCAGTTGCTACAGAGGACTTCTTTACAGGGTTAAAGAAAGGATAGGTGCAGCGAGTGGGAGCAGAGGACTGATATGTGGTAGTTAGCAGAGTATACTGGGCCGTTGCTGGGGGTGCTGTTGGGGATGTAGGAAGAGTGCCTTGAGCGGAGGAATGACGTTGTAAGCTGACTGAGGCTGGGTGCAACAAGTCTGACCATGTCTGTAGTATGGGTTGAACAAAGCTCAGCTTACACAAAGCCTGTCTGGTCAAAGACTGCACTGCGTTTATACAATCCCTTAATACCTGTGGTGAACATGCAGCATAATGCTCCAAGAAGCAATCCACATCATCCTCTAATAACCATACCAGGGACTCTACCTGGTCTGCACTAAATGGTGGCAAAAAGTCATTCCTGCTTTCAGGGGTACCAGATGAAGCCAACTCTACACAAACCTGAATCAAAGGTTGCACCTCAGAGAACTCTGTGCCCTGATCTACTAGAACATGAGCGATCCGTATACATTCTAGCAGTTGATCCCGGGTATACTCCCTCAGAGTCTGATAAGCATATTCTCTGTCATCAAAAACCAGCAGCGACAAATACACAACCTCATCAAGATCCATCCTTCCCAGCAACAAGCCAAGATGGCTTCCCTGTGCAGCCACTTCTGGTCAGGATTGGGGCCTTGGTGTAATGTCAGGGCTCCAGGGTATGACCAGAGGTATGTGAACTGACGCAGGGAAACGCAGGCTTCAGATATGTTATAAACAATATAATTTATTAATACTAACAATACATAAACGCAGTGCAATACTAAAACATAACACGGTGCAAACGAACCAAACCACCCACAGATAACAATACATACAATGCAAGCATCGTCAGGCAGGCCGGGTCAATAACAATCGGGCAGGTAGGAACAGGAGGAGCAGGCAGAGAGTAGTCAGGTCACGAGCCAGGGATCAAACAGGAGAAGTCAGAAGAGGTCCGGATCAGGCAGGGTCGGCAACGAATCAGTCAGACAGGAACGCAGGTAACAAGATACAGGGGTCCATAGAAAAACACACACCAAGGCACAGACTGCAGGTCTGGCCATCCCTTAAATACACCTGTGATCAGCCTCAGGTGTTTTGGCTGACTGCAGGGTTGAGTCTCTGATTGCTGAGAGCATCCGCTGGCCAGCCCTGGTACTGCAGCCCACAAGGCAGGTGAGTCCCACCATTACTGGCAAGTCCATTCCTGACAGGTTTTCCCTTTCCTTCTCAGTTTCTTTGTGATTACCTTTGATATCTCTTCGATGTTCACCAATCCGGATCCTCAATGAACGTTTGAACTTACCTATATAAAATGTATTGCATGGATATTCCAGCATATAGATAACTTTGCTGCTTGAACAATTTATAAATATCTTAATCTCAAAGACTTTTGTTTTATATACATTGGTGAACATTCAACAATTTTCTACGAAAGGACATATCTGGCAGTGACCACAGGAATACATACCTGCCAGTTCGAATATAATTGTTAGCCAGTTACCTTTTGGCTGGCTTTTAAATTCGGAATGTACTAGTAAATCACTTGAATTAGATGTCTTTTGTGCTGGCACTCGGTGATCGCCGTGTATCATCGACGGGGGAGAGACCTGTATTGTAAACAATACAGATCTCTCCCCTGTCAGCTCCTGCACACTGCTTTGTATGGCTCTGCATAGCAGTGTAAAGCACACACACAGTAAAACAGCACACAGTTAACCCTTTGATTGCCCCAGATGTTAACCCTTTCCTGCCCAGTGTCATTAGTACAGTGTCAGTACTTTTTATTAGCACTGATCACTGTATTAGTGTCACTAGGGATGTCAGTGACAGTCAGTTCCCCTCCAGTGTCAGAATGCCCACCGCAGTCCCACAGTCCCACTATAAGTCGCCACCATTACTAGTATAACCAGAAAAAAAAATTCCATTACCTATGCCATTTGTAGACACTATATGACTTTCACGTAAACCAATTAATTTACACATACTGGGATTTTTTTTAGCAAAGACATGTAGCAGAATACATTTTGGCGTAAATTTATGATGAAATTTGATTTTTTTAAATTTTTTTACTGGACATGTTTAATAGCAAAAAGTCAAAATTATTGTTTTTTTTTTCTCTCAAAATTGGCGGTCTTTTTTTTTTTTCTTTATAGCGTAAAATATAAAAAACGCAGAGGCAATCACATACCACTGAAAGAAAGCTCTATTTGTGAGAAAAAAGGACATACATTTCATTTCGGTGCAGCACTGCATAACCTCGCAATTGTCATTTAAAGTAATGCCGTGCCCGTATCACAAAAAATGGCCTGGTCAAGAAGGGAGCTAAATCCTCTGGAGGGCAAGTGGTTAAAATAATCCCTTATTTATTAAAATATATATTGCACTCACAGTTTTACATTCAAAAATGCTTGTAATACAGAGCGATCGATAGACACTTCTTCATGACCTCACTTCTGGTTTGAGTCTGCCTCCACGTGCCCAGATTTTCTTTTGATTTCACTGCCTATGTTGAGAAAAGGGAAAAGCCAATTGTTCAGTCTTGGGTTTTAGAGTGATCGGATGAATGCTTAAACTTTTTCCAGCTTGACCCCTTATTCAACAGCAGCCAAGCATCATATATATAGAAGCAGTATTTTTACTGCTTCTATTTATGACCGCTTCCTGATGTCAGTGGCTTTACTAGCAGTAGGTACTAGCACCTGTTGTGTCCATAGCAATGAGCACTGTCACAGGAACATTACTTACATGGCTGGGAATCACCCATCATGTAAGCAAAGGAGCAGGGATAACAGTGACATAACTCCCCAAATATGGTCACTGACCATAATTGGGCAATTACATTTTTTTTTCTTTTTAATAAAAGACTTGTCACATGTTTGTGTGTCTTTATTTCTAGGTTAAATTTTTTTCTGAATGAGTAGGTGTCACATACCTGGATAGTGAGCCCGACGTGAAGAAGCAGGCCTCCCGTACAACTCCGGCTCAAGGACCGCTGATAGTGAGACAGCGGTCGCAGGGGCACGGTGGGGTATGAGTGCCTGTGATCAGTCCAGTAACACCTGATGAGTCTTAGGCAGGGAGCAAGGTTCTGATGTAGCCATGTTGGATGGATGGATACTCTAGAGCTGCGTGCTGAGGATGCAGGGTCAGATGAGCCGGGTTCGGTACCGGTCAGGCAGATCAGGCTTACAGCGGCAGGAGGAAGAGTAGTCAGGTCACAGGCCAGTTCAGCAATGCTAGATCAATCAGACAGGAGAGGAGACAGAAGAATAATCCAAGACAGGTCAAGGTCAGGGCAGGAAGCAATCAAGCTGAGATCAGGAACAGGCTGGTTCGATATCAGGAGACAATCACAGGAATCAGGGAACACAAGCAGGGAAAAGACCATACAGCAATGGGACAACTACTGCAGCCAGTTTAAATAGCCCTTTTGGCGCCAGCATTAGTGACAGGCGCGCTCCCGTATGCTCAAGTGCGCATGCGTGCACGCACGTGTGAGCGCCTATGTCCAAGTGCCTGCACATCTGTTTGGCTAGTAAGGACTCTGTGCATGCATATATTTCTGCGCCGTGGAACTTCGCCTGCACTATGGGCAGGCTTTTCCTGACAGTAGGGGTACTATATACCCCATACTCATTCATTTAGGGGGGCCTGGTATCTGGGGTCCCCCTTATTTTTAAAGGGTGGTTCTAGATTCTGATAAGTCCTCTGCCTGCAGACCCCCACAACCACTGATCAGGGCTGTGGGGAAGAGGCCCTTGTTCTCTCATCAACAAGCTGAGGGCATGTGACGCAGTATGGGTCAGGGGGTCACTTATCCCCCTTTCCTGGCCAGACAGGCTGCATGCTTAGAAAAAAGGTCTGGACTGTATTTTTAGAGGTGCCTCACACTTTCTTTGTGTGAAGTACAACCTTAAAATCCATACCAGATTCAAAGGGTCTAATTTGCATTTGGGGGGGGGGGGGCATTCTTGCTGTAGGATGTGCTACAGCAAAATTATGAAATTTAAATTGCCAGCAAATTATATTTTGGGGGACTTTTGGAGGTGTCTTTGTGCTATTTTGTTTTTTAAATAGAAGCTAAGAGGGGGAATGCAATTTGACAACAATTTAAAAATGTTTTCCTTTGTAAACCTTTTGCTTTGCTAGCAATGGCCTAAAAACATGTGTGCACTTGTAGATGCTATGTGGGCAGTGCCTACCCTTATACTATTGTTTGACACCCCTTTACCCAGAAAGTGGAAATTTTTTATATGACAGAATAAGCATCCATTGATTTCAGTGGGACTTGGATTTGCCATCCAAACCTCTTCACATTTTGGTTAAACTTGCTTTAACTAAACTCAGGGCAGTTTGGCTCATCCCTAGTAGTGAATTTAAAGACAATTTTCTCCACATCTCCTACAGATACAGAGAGTAATGAGATATTGTGTTAAAGTGCTTTTACTACATGCTTAAAATATGTAAATACTTTACTGTACATAGTCTGGGCACTAGATCACTTTAGACACTAAAGTGTACAGATGTTTTTGGTCAACACACACATTAAAGTGCAATTCTTATGATAAAAATTTAAATGACGGCATCTTTAGCAATGTCTCACAATGGCAATGTACAAAGAGATACTTATATATAATTGAAAGCTTTTTTTTTTTTTTTTATTCCTTATTTTTCTTTCCCTTCCCATTATTTGCACAGTAGGCATTTTCAATAAGGGCAAAATAATCCATCAACCTTTACTTCCTGGAACTCTGACTAGAACTTTTGGTCTGCCTCATGAAACATATGGCAGGGAGCTCCCAAGACTCGTCTGTGAGACCAGGGTATTATCACCAGTGCCACAAGAAACCAGGAAGTGGAAAAACAGCCATTGTAAGTAAAAGCAAAATGTTTGTCTAATCAATGTAAGATGATTTCATGTCAGCATGCAGAGCTGAATGCTGATATTATTTTTAGAGAAAGAAGGGAAAGATTCACTTTAACAATTCTGTTGAGGCCATGAACATCTTGTCTCTTTGCTAAACAAGAGAGACTTATATTCCATATATTCCTGTAATACAGCAGCAGAC